CTACCACCATCACAACCACCCTCTACCACCATCACAACCACCCTCTACCCCATCACAACCACCCTCTACCACCATCACAACCACCCTCTACCCCCATCACAACCACCCTCTACCCCCATCACAACCACCCTCTACCCCCATCACAACCACCCTCTACCGCCACCACTTTCGTATTTTTCTACAAACTTTTTCTTGAATTCTATACACATTCTTTATCAAAGGACTGGCACTAAAAGCTTTCTTTGGGCCTATGGTGACTTATTTAGCAGTCACACACAATAAACAAGTGCCAAAAACAATGGATTATTAAGAAATGTTTCGTATGATCTCGCAGGATATGTTCGCTCACCGAGAAATAACACTACACTGCCTGAGATTGCGTGTGGGAAGCAGCTTTGTGTGTGATCTGGGCACTGGACAGATTCCATACAATCGACAAAAACAGAGGAAATCGACAAAAATAGAACCAATATTTTGATGAAAAAGGTCGGCGAAAACAGAAATCAGCGATAACGAAGATTGACAAAAAGGGAGGGTCCACTGAATATATAAAATATTCAATAACTTTAAAACACTTGAAATTTTTAAAAATTTCCAGACATAATAGAGATGTGCTCATGGAGAAAGTAAACAAACTGGGTGGGGCACGCCATATTTGAAAGACTGCTCGCCGTATAGCAAATTTTGGTCATAACTTGAAATCACCATATTAGCGGAATGCTGTAAGGCAAATCGGCGTAAAGTGAGGCCCTAGTGTGGATAGAAATAATTGCTGGTGCTTTTGACCAGGTATGGCACCAGGGACTCTTGGCAAAACTGCAAGCACTTAAAAGTCTCTAGCTGTATACTACAGCTCCTTAGAGATCCACTTTCAAGATAATCACTAAGTAGTTTTCAAATGGACAGAGTCAGCAAGGCAACTGGTGTCAGTGTTCCACAGGAGAGCATGCTGGGTCCACTGTATTTGAATGTCTACTTCAATGACCTCCACCTTATACCAGAGTTCTATGCCTATGCATGGGACTCGTAAGAATAAATTGCCAGCTGCTCTCATGCACAATGATCATGAGTTTACAGCTATATCAGCCTGGCAAAAATGATGGCAAGTTACATTTGTTTCTTTGAAAACATAATGGTACTTGGAGACCACCATTATTTATGTTAATGCTGGAGCTCAGTGATAAGGTGGATATTCTAGGAGTGAAATCTGATTAAAAAATGTCTATTTAGAATTGCAGGGTAAATCTTGCTAGCAAGGCAGCCAAGAAGTTAACAAGTACTAATTAGGTGTGGCTCATGGCTAGGTTGTCAACACCAACAAACTCCTAAGTAGTGTCATTCCAGCTAAAACCTTGTGTAGCTTTAAAAATAGGTTAAAGTACATGAGTGGGTGTGAGTTGGACCTGCTTAGTTTGGGCCAGTATGCCTACTACAGTGCTTCTTTCTCATGTAATGAGTGTTCATGGTTCAGCTCCTGGCATGGGTGGAAACATTGGCCATGTTTCCTTACACCCGCTGTCCCTGTTCACCTAGCTGTAAACAGATACCTGGGTGTTAATCAACCAAGATTGAAGGACCCCAGTGGAAATCAGACAGACAGTCCCCGATGACACACTGACTTTCTTGGGTTATCCTGGATGGCTAACCCTCTGGGTTATAAATCCAAACAAATCTTATCTTACCTCAAGTCTGCTCAACAGTAAAGGCTGCAAAGCTTGAAATGGTACAAATGCTGTCACACCTTGAATATGCACCGCTTTTTTGCTTTGCCTGCCCCCCAGTCTCACCTGTCTTCTGAATAGAATACTAGAGAACTGAGCAAGACAACTTCTCTCTTACTTGGATCCAGCCTGGATAAATCTGTCATTTCAGCAGAGCTTTTAACATCAATTTTAATAATACATAATTTTAATTTAATAATTCATGTTAAGCACTAAACCCATGCAGTAGATGTGGTAGAGATTTGATCCTCCATCTGCTGAGCATAAGATAAACACTTCCTATTTGTGCTTGTCGTTCATTTTGTAATGCTAACATTAATTTGTACCTCTGTATGTATGCTCAAATTACTAAATAAATAAATAAATAAATAATGTGCATTGCAATTACTTCTTCATACCGTATGATTTATCTAAATAAAAGTTAGATATGTAATAGTTACTGACAACTACAACTTATGTAGAGCATGGAATAAGTAATCATTTGTTGAGCAAATTGTTAATTTACAAGGCACACTAAAGAATATCTCAAACTTGGCAGAATGTTAATAAGATACAATGGTATTTTCTGGTTGTTACATAACCTGACCATATATAACATAACCAAACTTAACCTAATATGTTAAGTTAATAAGTTTATTTATTTAGACACAATTTTGGGATGAATTACAATCGTTTTACACAGTAACATGCATAAAATATCTACGATAATCCAAGAAAATTCATAACGATTTCCATTGGGATCCTTAATAATAACAATCTTTATTTTTACAACTACATGATACAACTGATACAGACCTTGCTGACATTACTAGAATACTATACAAAAACCCCTCTGGTTGCCAGCTGCTCTCATGCACATTAATCATGAGTTTACAACTATATCAGCCTGGCATAAATGATGGCAGGTTACACAGATCACTCTTTGATGTTCCCTGTGTCCATCTCACACTATGTAAAAACTCAATGCACATAAAAGGCCCAAAAATCTGGAATTCGTTACCAGTGATTACCAAAGAAACACTGTATATCAATTCAAGACTCCTCTTAAAAACCACCTACTCACCCGAAACTAAATATACAGTACTTAATTTAACTTTACCTACATAGTTAACAAATCACTTTCTACTGCCTCAAAATATCATTACTCACTGTGTTACTCCCTTAGCCTTAGGACCCCATAAATAAATGCTCAAAGATCAATAAATTCTCATATCTAATCTAATGCAAATAGTACTGAATAACTTACATTTCATACATGTGTAACCCAGTTGTATAATTAGAGAAACCTTATCAAACTATGTTTTTATAGCATTACCTAATAGAATAATCCAATCTCTTGAATGCACTGGAACTCGTCTAATGACCATATGAACTGTTACTGCACTACAGATCATTGATTTGATTTGAGTAGCTCTGATTAATAAATTGTATGACTACATATAGTAAACTGATCATTTTGTTATATTATTCACTGTAATGTTGCAAAATTGTAAAACTATAATGCTTCAAAATTGAAATGTTCAAATTTCACTGTTTAAAATACTCAGTTGTACTTGATATTGTAAATTGTTTAATGTAACTGTTACCATTAAATTTATTATAGCTTAGATAATCCTAAGTTAATTTTAAACCTCCCCATAATGCTCTGCATACAAGGGGCTTTTGACATGTACACCCAACTACTATAATATCTTGTACAACTATGTATGGTGTCCTAATAAACTATTATTATTATTTTATTATTATTATTATTATTAATTATTATTATTATATACTAAGCATTTCAGGTAAATTAGGTTAATTTCCTCCTCCAGGATGCAATACACAACAGTTTGCTAACACCCAGATACCTACTCACTGCTAGATGAACAGAGGCACCAGGTGTAAAGAAACATGCCTGTTTCACTTTTGCTGAGGATTGATCCCAGACTCTGTTGTTGCCAACTGTGGCTCTGTTGGCAATGCTCTCGCCTCACACAGTATCTGTGATTCAATCCCCAGCATAGGTGGTAAGGTTGGGCATGTTTCCTTCCACCTGATGCCCCAGTTCACCTAGCAGTATGTATGTACCTAGGCATTAGTAGACTGTTGTGGGTTACATCCTGGGGGATGAGACTGAAAGAACCCCAATGGAAATATGACAGACACTTCTCAGTGATGAGCTAACTTTCCGGGTTACCCTGGGTGTCTAATCCCTCAGGGTTAAAAATCCAAACACATCTTATCTTACTATTAGTCTAAGTATTAGATACAGTCAAACATAGGTCACGATCATTAATGATATTTGTCAAAAAATAAACCAAGTACAGTGGAACCCCGCTTTCGTCCGGTCTGGATATCATACAATTCGTATTTCGACCACTTTTTTTGGCGAATTTTTACCCAGGGTTTCATACATCCACTGTAAATGAAATGTGTGAAAATAAACCACATGCATACTTATGAGAAGCTCCATTACTTTGAGCAAAATTACAACTTATGACCTCATCCCTTACATACTTCACATACATTGTATTTGCTGTTTTTCCTCAGACCACAATTAAAGTGAAGACATACTGCATTGGTCAATCACTACTGGCTACTAATTCATATACATGACTAATATTGTGTGCACACCTCACATATATCACAAGTAACTACTATGACTGATGACCCCTTACCACAGTGAACACAACGGCACCTAACCTATTTTTTGTTAATATCTCAAAAAAAGAATCTTATTCCATGATATATATGGGTTATTTGTACTAAAAAGTGTAAATTAATATCACCGAGTTCTGCCAAGTTGTTAATAACTAAGTTTATTGAGGTACAGGTACAGTTACTGTTATTATAATCACAACTAGCGCTAAACCCACAAGGTAGGTAGAGGTACACATAGGTACAATTATTATATATAGTAACATGTGTTCATCACCTAGGATAACAGAAAGTGACTCATTTCCATTGGATTATCTATGGGTAAATACTTTTACTTTACAAAACCACTAAAATATTCTAATTGTGTAAGAAGCCTAAATACGTATAAAGTAGCCCTCGCATGGGCCAGTAGGCCTGCTGCAGTGTTCCTTCTTTCTTATGTTCTTATGAGGTTGTACAAGACGTACCCAAAGGGTAATGACCCCCCAGGGAGTAAGTTTATTTAGGTACAGGTATACAAGAAGTTACACAAATTATCATACATAAATAACATGTAAATTATCCAGGATAATCCCAAAAAGTCTGAAGTAAGTTATTACGAGTGGTGGTGTTGGCTGCCCTAACATGAGGGTATCTTACCTTGCCCGAGGCGGTGCCACCAGCCACTCCTATCAAGAAAGGCGTCTTGGGGGTGAAGTCATTAGTAACACCATTGTGGGGTTTACTAAGATCATCAGGTCTGTGTGTGGACATGACTGTAGTGTGGTGTGTGAGGCCGGGTACTGGCAGCACTTCTTGCTACACCACGACTCTCTGCTACTACTACTGCTCACACCTCGCCTCACTCTCTGCTACTACTACTGCTCACACCTCGCCTCACACTCTCTGCTACTATTACTGCTCACACCTCGCCTCACACTCTCCACTAAACTAACTCCTAGTGTTGCACTTTGCACCTCGAGATTAGTGCTGAGTTTCACTAGCATGCAAGTCGCACATGCAGTGTTGCTAGGCAGCATAACACTGCTAGAGCAGCAGCCACCCTCAGAAAGCTGTACTACCCGCTAACAAATCAATAAACCAGTAAACCTTCTAAACCCTCCTCTGTCTCTTCAAATTTAGTGACGTTAAACTCTAAATTAATTTCAACTTGACATTCTATTACGTCCACTCCCTCAGGGGAGTAATAAGACACACGTGCAACACCTGGGTAGCTTTTTTTTATATATAACCTTCCCCAACCAGATGGGAAACCAGTCTTCAAATAAGGATACCTACGTGTTGATGTTTGTGATCTATCATCTTGTTGGTATTGTTAAGTATCATTGTAATGATTCCCTCTAGGGTAGTGTCTTCTTGCCGGTGAGGAATTCTTGATCCAAGGAAATGGACCTATTCCGAGTATCCTCAAGGACTCCATTGAATATAAGTCACTTTTTTGGGTTACACTATGTATGATAACTGTATTTATGCGTATCTGTGCCGAAATAAACTTACTTCTTTGATTTTCACAGTTATGATTTAAATAATAATATATTACAAGGACCCCTATGGAAATGTCAATATGTCTTGGCATTTTTGGGTTATTCTAGGTAATTTACACCCCTCAAGGAAGGTTCCTTGATGTTGGTGAGGGGCTCTTGATTTAGGGAATTGGATCTGTGCTCCAGTTCCCCAAATTAAGCCTGAATGCCTTCCACATCCCCCCCCCCCCAAGTGCTGTATAATCCTCCGGGTTTAGCGCTTCCCCTTGATTATAATAATAATAATAGGTAATTTACACTGCATGATAATTATTATTAATTTACACTATGATAATTGTACTTTAAAATTCAAATTCTTTATTTCAGCATGATACAATGTTTGTACAGAGATAAGGAATATTAAGTGTACCTGCAGCTCAAGAAGAAATTTCTCACCTAGCTGGTAGTAATAAGTTATCACAAGTTACATACACTGATGGATCTAAACAGGAGTCTTCTAACAGGGCTGCATCTGTTCTTGTTGCCACCTTCCTAGTTAAGAACGATAATAAATTTGTTGAACTAGGAATAAGGATTAACAACTGGGCGTCTACACTGCAAACTGAATTGTTTGCAATCCTAATGGCGCTGAAGCTAACCTATGACACTGAGCTTGACTCTATCATCATTACTGATTCTATGTCATCACTGAAGGCTCTTAACTCATATAATGACTCCAACAACATGCTCATTGGAGAAGTTAGGTATAGATACTCAAAAATCAGGGACAGAGGAATTAATGTACAATTGCTATGGATCCCATCACACATTGGATTACTCCATGATAAAGTTGATATGTTAGCCAAGAAGAGTTTACCTGGAGAGAGTTCCAGGGGTCAACGCCCCCGCGGCCCGGTCTGTGACCAGGCCTCCTGGTGGATCAGAGTACCCAGAAGGAGAATGTACCTGGAGTTTATCTGGAGAGAGTTCCGGGGGTCAACGCCCCCGCGGCCCGGTCTGTGACCAGGCCTCATGGTGGATCAGAGCCTGATCAACCAGGCTGTTACTGCTGGCTGCACGCAATCCAACGTACGAGCCACAGCCCGGCTGGTCAGGTACCGATTTAGGGGCCTGTCCAGTGCCTGCTTGAAGACAGCCAGGGGTCTATTGGTAATCTCCTTTATGCATGCTGGGAGGCAGTTGAACAGTCTTGGGCCCCTGACACTTATTGTGTTGCCTCTTAACGTGCTAGTGACACCCCTGCTTTTCATTGTGGGGATGTTGCATCGTCTGCCGAGTCTTTTGCTTTTGTAGCGAGTGATTTTCGTGTGCAAGTTCGGTACTAGTCCCTCTAGGATTTTCCAGGTGTATATAATCATGTATCTCTCCCGCCTGCGTTCCAGGGAGTACAGGTTCAGGAACTTCAAGCGCTCCCAGTAATTGAGGTGTTTTATCTCCATTATGTGCGCCGTGAAGGTTCTCTGTATATTTTCTAGGTCAGCAATTTCACCTGCCTTGAAAGGTGCTGTTAGTGTGCAGCAATATTCCAGCCTAGATAGAACAAGCGACCTGAAGAGTGTCATCATGGGCTTGGCATCCCTAGTTTTGAAGGTTCTCATTATCCATCCTGTCATTTTTCTAGCAGATGCGATTGATACAATGTTATGGTCCTTGAAAGTGAGATCCTCCGACATGATCGCTCCCAGGTCTTTGACGTTAGTTTTTCGCTCTATTTTGTGGCTGGAATTTGTTTTATACTCTGATGAAGTTGTAATTTCCTCATGTTTACCATATCGGAGTAATTGAAATTTCTCATCGTTGACCTTCATATTGTTTTTTGCAGCCCATTGAAAAATTTGGTTGATGTCCGCCTAGCAGATGTCGGGTGTTATCTGCAAAGGAAGACACGGTGCTGTGGCTGACATCCTTGTCTATGTCAGATATGAGGATGAGAAACAAGATGGGAGCGAGTACTGTGCCTTGTGGAAAAGAGCTTTTCACTGTAGCCGCCTCAGACTTTACTCTGTTGACTATTACTCTTTCTGTTCTGTTTGTAAGGAAATTATAGATCCATCTACCAACTTTTCCTGTTATTCATTTAGCACGCATTTTGTGCGCTATTACGCCATGGTCACACTTGTCGAAGGCTTTTGCAAATTCTGTGAATATTACATCTACATTCTTTTTGTCTTCTAGTGCATCTAGGACATTGTCGTAGTGATCCAGTAGTTCAAATTCAAATTCAAATTCAAATTCAAAGTTTATTCTCTCTAAAGATTACAATGTTGAATTTACAGAATTTGGTGTGTTGTGTGGTTTACATGTAGTTAAATAATGATTACAGAGTGTACCACTAGAACGCCTAGCATGGCTAGGCATTTCGGGCAGACTTAGTTTAATTCTTTATTTTAAAATATTACAAATTATGAGGTAAGTTGGTATTATGGCTAAGTGACTAAATACTAGTTTGTGAGTTTAGCAATGTGAATGCTTTTGTTTTGGCACAGTACATAGTTTCAGTATTGGAGTATCATAGGATTCATTATTTTAAGATTGAGATTAATATTTCTGTTTATGGTCAAATGGGTGAGTGAGTGTAAGTGTGAACCACCAGGTGGTATTCATGTAGTTAGTTGATGGGGTGTATCAAGGAGATAAGATGTTTTCTAATGGTAGTTTTGAAGGTGATGAATGTGTCTGCAGTTCTAGAGTTCTCAGGTAGGGTGTTCCAGATTTTAGGGCCTTTGACATACATTGAATTTTTGTAAAGGTTTAGTCGGACACGGGGAATGTCGTAGAGATGTTTGTGTCTGGTGTTATGCCTGTGGGTTCTGTCACAACTATCAAGAAAGCGTTTTAGGTCAAGGTTGATATTGGAGTTTAAGGTCCTGTAGATGTAGATTGCACAGTAGTAAGTGTGGATGTACTGAACAGGGAGTAAGTTTAGATCTATGAAGAGTGGGGGGGGGTGTTGCCAGGGATGGGATTTAGTGATTATTCTTACTGCAGCTTTTTGTTGGGTTATTAGTGGCTTTAGGTGTGTTGCTGCAGTTGATCCCCAAGCACAAATAGCATAGGTGAGGTATGGATATATAAGTGAATGGTATAGTGTGATAAGGGCAGTTTGCGGCACGTAGTATCGTATCTTGGAGAGGATCCCAACCGTTTTGGATACTTTTTTGGTTATGTGTTGGATATGGGTGCTGAAATTCAGGTTGTTGTCAAGGTATAGGCCTAGGAATTTGCCCTCATTATGTCTGGTAATTAGAGTGTTGTCGATCTTAATGTTAATTTGTGCATCTCCTGCTCTGCTACCAAACATAATATAGTAGGTTTTGTAGTTGGGACAGACAGGAGCGACCTGCTCTAAGCCCATGTTGCCCTGGGTTGTGTAATTGACGGGTATCTAGATGGGTGGCGATCTTGCTTCTTAGAACCCTTTCAAAGATTTTTATGATATGGGATGTTAGTGCTATCGGTCTGTAGTTCTTTCCTATTGCTTTACTTTCCCCTTTATGGAATGGGGCTATGTCTGTTGTTTTTAGTAACTGTGGGACGACCCCAGTGTCCATGCTCCCTCTCCATAGGATGCTAAAAGCACGTGATAGGGGCTTCTTGCAGTTCTTGATGAACACGGAGTTCCATGAGTCTGGCCCTGGGGCAGTGCGCATGGGCATGTCATTTATCGCCTGTTCGAAGTCATTTGGCGCCAGGATAACATCAGAAAGGCTTGTGTTTACCAAATTCTGTGGCTCTCTCATAAAAAAAAATCATTTAGATCTTCGACTCTCAGTCTAGTTAGTGGCTTGCTAAAAGCTGAGTCATATTGGGACTTGAGTAGCTCACTCATTTCCTTGCTGCCATCTGTGTAGGACCCATCTTGTTTAAGTAGGGCCCAATACTGGATGTTGTTCTAGACTTTGATTTGGCATACGAAAAGAAATACTTCGGGTTTCTTTCGATTTCATTTATGGCTTTTAGTTCTTCCCGCGATTCCTGATTCCTATAAGATTCCTTTAGCTTGAGTTCGATGCTTGCTATTTCTCTGATCAGTGTCTCCCTACGCATTTCAGATATATTGACCTCCTTTAGCCGCTCTGTTATTCTTTTCCGTCGCCTGTAAAGGGAGCGCCTGTCTCTTTCTATTTTACATCTACTCCTCCTTTTTCTTAAAGGAATAAGCCTTGAGTATACATCGAGTGCCACAGAGTTCATCTGTTCTAGGCATAAGTTGGGGTCTGTGTTGCTTAGTCTATCTTCCCAGCTTATATCGTTTAGGACTTGATTTACTTGGTCCCACTTTATGTTCTTGTTACTGAAGTTGAATTTGGTGAAGGCTCCCTCGTGACTGATCACATTTTGTCGGTCTGGGGCTCCGCGCATACATGTCTGAACCTCGATTATGCTGTAATCCGAGTATATTGTTTTTGATATGATGACATTTCGTATCAGATAATCATTGTCAGTGAAGATGAGGTCCAGTGTATTCTCCAGTCTAGTAGACTCTATTATTTGCTGGTTTAAGTTGAATTTTGTGCAGAGATTTAAAAGCTCGTGTGTGTGAGAGTTCTCGTCTGAGCTGCCTCCTGGTGTTATCACTGCAACAACATTATT